GGTAGCCCACATGAATTTAGTCTGGTTCGGTCTGCAGTACCGCGAGAATCCCCCGAGCACATGGGTTCTTTAGCTCCAAGCTAGTAATACCCTATCCAGTTATTAGATCCATGGTATTGGCTGTAAAATGCTAACTGGTAGAAAGTAAACAGTAAGTCGCTATGGTAACGTGGAGTCTGGAATTCAAAGGTAGTACTTCATTGTAACTAGATAGTTATCTTCTATCTACTAGCCTCTACAAAGCTGTCAATTTTCCAACACAGATCAGAGAATCCAACAGTTCAAACTCAAGAATATTCCAGAGACCTCCCAGGACCGGTGTGTGACGTGGAAAACTCGGCTTCTGCAGTTGTTTATCCACACGGAGAAATATTATCTGTGATTATTAAAGCCACCAGCAACAGAACATAAACACGAGAATGAGCTGAGGCCAAAGAGAGGAATCTAAACAGAGAAACACCAGAGAAGGTGGAGACGGGGATTTTATTCACAAATATCAGATTCTAAAACCATGGAATCTTAAAGGAGCTGTACCTGTTTCTGCAAGGTTTGAATGTTTAGCACCGCCCCTCAACTTGCTCACAGGTCTCTCATTTCCCCTACGCTCTTCCTCCATCTAGTTTTATTTGCAATCTATTCTAATACATAAACAAACATTACCATGAGCGCAACTTCTAACAAGCTGTACAACAATCACTGATGAAATGGTAAAAAAGCAACGCACTGCTAACAAAATATATAACTGAAAGATTACTGCTAGTTTCACGTCCGAATCATAGACTGTATATATTAACGGACGTAGTCACGCCTATCTTGGCCGTTCTAACTAATGGGCCAAAAATAGTGCTCTACTGGAGCAATCCAAAATGGCCGCGAGCGGTCCCGCCCACAAGAAAATTGTGAAAAAACCATAGACTGTATATATTAACGGACAGAGTCACGCCTATCTCCGCCATTCATAGGAGTTGGCCATGAAAAGTGCTTTCATGGAGCAATCCAAGATGGCCGCGAGTGGTCCCGCCCACAAGAAAATTGTGAAAAAACGCATCTGCGCATGCGTCAGCCGGTGCAGCTCCATTCATTTGAACGAGAGACTTCAAAAATTCACCGCAAGTAAACTAGAGTGGACAAAAAAAAATCACCCCCCTCAGCATTGACACACATCTGGAACGGAGCTTTAGGCCAAGAGCCAACTTTTGGACCATCCTGTAAAGACGGTTTTGAGAGGTCTGCTAACGCTATATGTTAGCATTGGCTAATTCTTCTTCTGGGTCCACCCCCATCGGCCCGGGGTGGTATTGCAAGCATGTCAGCGCACAACATTTTGGCCACTTTTGACCTGGGACCCGCCCCACTGGTCCGAATCTAGTCCGAGGCGGTCCCGCTCCCGCAGGTACCATAGACTGTTAGTCTCTCCGGAGGATAAGATGTAAGCTAGCTATGTTCACCCGGACTTAATTTCTTCTTTGATCCGTTTTTCGCTTTAGTTCCCTCTTATCTTCCTCACTGTTGTGTCGTTTGGGCTGTGTATGCTGTTACAGCAAGCGTCACGCCAAGTCTACTCAGCACTTTTATACGGCCTGAATTCATACACAGCTGAATCTATGAGCTCACATTTTCAATTGAACTACGGATAATAATACAACTTGTATGTAGTAATAAGCATTTTTATGAACTCAAGAAAATAAATTGGCTATAGCTTCTTTAAAACAGAATTTTTGTCATGAAAACTTTAACAGATACTTCTGTAAACCCCCGTGCATGTGTATTAAGAATGTATATAATGTATTTTCTGATTAACAATTAAATGTGTAGATTGATAGGCCTGTCGCGATATTCAATAAATCAATTAATCGCATGATAATTAGAATTAACTCAATCATTTTCCTGGCTGCGATAAATTCCATTTGCATGCTTGTTTGTTTTCTCCGTCTCTCTTGCTCCCTCTCTCTCTCGGGTCAGAGAGCCGCAAAGTGGTCTTTAGCGTCTAGCGAGCAGACTGAAATAACTCAAAAATACAAAATACAGCCAAAACAGGACCTAAACCGGGACTATTCCAGGACTAAACCAGGACTTAACCAGGATTTACAGTGGGGGACACATCAGTTGTTCTCATTCAGGCTCTAGTGGTGACTAGTAGTGACCAGGCGAACACGCTAACACCAGCACTACACATATGAATTACAGGCAAAGATTGCGTTCATTATTGTTTTGAGAGGTCAGTTATCAAGAAATAATGATCGGTAGAACATTTTGTAATTACATTCAAATCAATGGAGTGTTCTACTCAGTGACGTGCGGTGAGGTCGGTGATTGGTGAGGCACTGACTTCAGCCCAATCAGATGAACATATATAAATCAACAGGACCTACAGAGCGGCTTATTCACAATTTGTTTGGCTACAGCAGAATATGTTCCATGTCCGCATTGTTTGCTCATACAAAACGCAAAAGTTTGTAAAAAGCACATTTAAAAGTGTGTTATGGTCTTACCTTATAAATGACCTGCACAGACCAATTCAGTTCAGACCAGTTTCATGTTAAAGTCCAGATAATAGTTTGAGCGCAGATATGTAATCCTCCATTTGGAACTAAATCCAATGAGTTTTAAAAAGTAAAACAAAACGGGTGTCTCCTCCATAAACTCCTCGTGTTTTCGCTAGCTGCTGGTAGCGGACTCTCGGGTGCATACAAATTCTGAAATCAACCTTACCCTTCACCCCTCTTTCTTATCAATCCTATCGTCATTGGAAGCATAACCATACCCTAAGTGGATTTTAAATCCTCTTAAAATGTGTTATATGTATGTTAGCCAAACCTGTAGCTGCCCTTAGCAGAGGAAAGGAGCTTTCAGATGAAATTGGATGCAGCCGAATTCTGGGCTCACATGCGCCCCCTACCCTGAGGCTGGCCTCATTTGGTGACATTACAAGCCGTGGTTTGAGCGCGATTAAGTCCCTGTCCATACGAAGTCAAGCTCAGGCCTAAACGCAAAAATACTTTATCAATCCAGTGTATCGTCCATACGAGGCCGGCGTTTTGGGGGGGTGTAAACGAACATTTTTGAAACTAGGTCCCAGAGTGGAAAGATTTCAAAACTCCGTATATGCCGCTCCGTGGTTACTGCCTCTCCGCAATGTATCTGAGACGCTTGCGTCATCGCCCCGCCTCTTGTTAAAGCACGCATGCGCCGCACTCAGAAAATAATGACAACAACAATGTAGCTTGTTGGTTTTGTAATCCAGTGTGACCCGAAGCAACAGTTCAACCTCATCGTCCGTCCATACTAATGTAGTACCAGCTCGCCCACTCGCCATGTTGTCTGTTTACAAAATTCCGCGCATGCCCACGGAAGTTTGGGCTTGATCCCGTCATTGCGTCACAGCGCCACCAACAGGTCTGGCATAGTTTCACAGCGTTTTCAGGCGTATTGACTACATTCATATGGACGCACACATTTACTGAGCTAACTCCGTGTTTACAGAAAAAGTTTCTGAAATTATAAGCGTTTTGTCTTCGTGTGGATATAGCCTAAGACCCATATTTGTTTCAAAAACACAATTTATGACTCATCCTCTCAATTGTAGACATGTTGATTGTAAAGGAAATATTTTTGAACTTTGTAAACCGCGTAAACAGAGAAAACAGTTCGATAGCAGCACACGGGCCTCTCCCACAGTGAGCTATGGCTTTTACGTCTCCCAAGAGAGGCTCGCCTCACAGCGCGCCGCTCTGTCAAATATGAGAAAATATGAGGAAAATCTGCAATTTCAAGGTAAAAATTAATTAAATAAGGCAAAGTTACATTGAAAAATACAATACCACAGATCACTAGATATAGTGACAGTATTATTGTTTCCATTTTATTCTTTTTTCTTTCCATAATCTTAGGTGAGGCCAGGCCTCACCTGTCTCATCTGACCGCTGGTTCTACTGCTAATGTAAGGAGCCGTGTAATAATGAAAAATAATAATAAAAATGATAATAGTACATCAGTTTGCTTTTCTGGACACTCACATATGCTTCACATATCATTGTTAATTCACTCTATACACAGTGGTGATAGACTGTAGCCACAGCTGCCCTGGGGCACACTGACAGAAGCAAGGAAACCAGTCTGTGCCATTAGCCCCACCCACCACCACCAACCATTCACACACACACCACATACATTTTACCGTGGATAAAGTGTCTTGCCTAAGGACATAGCTACACAGCTACAGTTTGGCTCTTTATAGGCGCCACACTGTGGAACATGGTGTTCCCAGAGGTCTCCCAGAACAGTACTGACCAAGTCCTACCCTGCTTAGCTTCAGAGGTCTGACAGGATCTGGCTTTCACCTGCAGTTATGGCCACAATATTGTTTGTGGTCTAGTTTATTATACTATTTTATCGAATTTCACTTACTCGCACAACTGTGCAATATCATGAAAAGAATAAAAAGAACCTAACCTTCTGTTTTTATGTATCTAAAAATGGCATAAATGCAACACACAACTGGAAATCCTCTTGCAACTTCTACCTAAATGTCTCGACAGTGAGAAAAACGCAACATTGAACCGCTGTAGGGGGTGAGGAGGCAGGAGAAAAGGATCATTTTGACATAAATTCCAAAACTTATAAATGTAAAATTTAAAGCAGTTCAAACTTAAAACAAATGTATTCCTTTCTTCTTCACTGTGATTATTATTTGTGAAGGCAATGTTTACGTACCATTCAGTGGCACAAAACACAAAAGGTAAATTTGAATGATAACACTTCAAACAGATGACAAATTATTGCTATGCATCTGCTTTTTTAATTATATCAGCCTAGAATTTAGGAACTATGTTCAAAAACTGTTAGAGGACCAACACTGGGATAACATCTTCAAGAAAGCCACAAGTACCTCCTCAAAAATGGTTCGAAGTTCTGTTAAAACACTGGGAACACATCTTCAAGAAAGCAACTTGTGTCTCCTCAAAAATGGTCAACGTGCTGGTCCTCTGGTGTGGGCCTCCTTAGAAGGTGAAGGCCCTCCTCATCCTGGAGAAGAGCCGTGACAGCGCAGACTTGGGACGCTTCTGGAAGGCTCTCAGCTCAGCGTTTTTATGCTTCGCTGCAGCCGCTTCAAATGCAGCTGTGTCGTCCTCTCGAGCCGCCCTCAGGACTGCGTCTGATGATCCATAATCCGCAGAGAGACGTTTGGCGTCCTTCTTCAGCTTTATCTGGCAGTTTTCATCCAACCCCAGCTGCTGCTTGATGCTGTAATGCAGGTGGACACCCGTTAGACTGGCGTTACAGTCCAGCCAGTTTGAACAGTTTTTGGGTGAGTGCGTTGGTGATGAAGTAGGAGCCTTTGAGGACAGTTGGAGGAATCCTACTTGGCTCAGTAGACGTGTCCGGTGATGAACTGCTTTCTGAAGACTCAGAGATATGCTCAGTGATAATGTGAGGTTGTGACGTAGCACTAACCATGTCATTGACCACTGTCTCTTGAGCCCTCAGAGTGGTCAAGTTTTCCAAAGGACTTGTTGGACCATTTTCATCTGTGGCTCCAACTGTTTCTTCAAAGTTCGTGGTATGGTCATCCTCAGACTGATCAAGGACCTCGTGAACTGTTACCTCCTCATTTTCAGTCTGTGAGACTTCTGGTTACTGTTCCTGGTCACTCAGAAGTGCTGCTTGTTCAACACCATTAGTAGAAGTGTCTTTGCTGGTTTCTAGATACAAAACCCTTCCGGAGGTGTCTGAATCTCCTCCTCGATGTTATCTGAGAAAACTCCTGCTGCTTCGTCTTGAGCAGCAGCAGAAGACAAAACAGATGTGTCGTCTGTTGGGGACTGGATCTCCTCCGTCTGAAAGAGGTCGTCTTCAGCAACAGAATATACTTGGTCCTTGGAAACTTCCTAATGGATAGTCTCAGTCTCTTGAGTTGTGTTTGCTTGTGTCCAGACGTCCATTTCTGGTGTGGCATCACGCAGAAGCCGCATTCCTTTTAGCGTCTTTCTTGTCCACGCCGAGTCCCACCGCAGTCACGTCTGCCACTGTGACCTGGACGTAGAAGATGCAAGGATTCGACTTTTTGTCTACATCCACAATCGTGTACTTGGGAGGAATCCTTTTCATGTTCACCACGATTACATCAAGACAAGATATTGGGTTATCATTGTCTTTGAAGGTGGGAGTTCTCTCCAGCAGATGCCAGTGCGTTTCTTCTTCTTCTCGTCAGGAGGAAGGGGAAGACGTCGCAGTTCTGGGAGAACTTGCTGAGCACAAAGGTGTTTCGCTTCTGAAATGGTGGGTCCTTTAGCTTCTGCACTAAAGTCACCGACTGTCAGACAATAGGTGAAAATGGCCTTATGGATTCAGAGATCGGAGTGAACTTTGCCACGACTTTAAGCTAACAAGAGCTAAAGCACCGTTACAGTTTTATGGCATATGAGCTAAAGCAACAGCTACATTTTGCTCAAAACTAAAATGTAAACGTTGGGACAGACTGCATGCCTTGCTTCTGTCAGTGTGCCCCCGGGCAGCTGTGGCTACAGTAGTAGTTTATCACCGCTGTGTTTGGAGTGAAAGAATAATGACATGTGAAGAGACTTACTAGAACAATGTAACAACCAGCTATAGTCTTATTTCCAGCAAAACATATCATTGCCAAATCTTGTTATATCTAATTTATTTCACCAAAGTTTCTACAATATCTGTTTTTTTTTAATCCTTTTTTGTGATTGTGTTTTACTTAAAAGTCTATCATATTTTTTTTTGTGCAGAAATAAGGTATTTTTATATTTACTCATAGAATTATCCTGTAAGAGCTACTTTAAACAGGATGGAGAGCTACTGGTAGCTCCAGAACTTCAGGTTGGAGACCCATGCCCAAAGATCATGAGTTTCTTGAAGACTAACCACTGGTTTCTTCTTGCGCAAAATTGTCGTACCTACATAATATGCGAAGATCCGTGTTAGTTCATCATTATGTTAATAGTGTCTCAGTGGATTAAACAAACCCCAGACACTGAGTGGATCCCTGTCGTTGCCGTTGTACCTTTGAGCCAGGCATCAGCTGTCAAACCCTCACTCCGCTGGCCCCGCCCCCTGGCAGCTGTGGCTTTGGTCTTTTCAGTGGAGCGCGGGGCATTTCCATAAAACTCCCAACATTAGCATAATCCTGTTAGCCTCAGCACCGACGCAGATCCGGCCAGATCCAGACGGCGGCCATTATTCCTCCAGCTCCTCCCGGTGAATGAATGAAAGGGCCGCGCAGACCGACGGCAGAAGAAGAAAGAAGGGATTTGAAATGAGTGTGAGAGTGTTAGAATGTGTTTACAGAAGTCTGAGTCTGAGAAGGGAAAGAGAGTGTGTTCTCTTGAAGCTTCCCCTGGTAAATATACTGCAGCACAGGTACAAGATCTGGGTCAAAAAGCACAATCGGAGACAGAGCGTTTAGCTACCAAGCTCCAAGACAGTGGAGCAGAGGCTCTCTATATAGCCTCTCGCTGGGCTCTCTCGCGGTTCTCTCTCGCTGGTCTCTCGCTCTGGTCTCTCTCTCTCTCTCTCTGGTCTTTCTCGCTACAGCCTCAGTCCTGGATCTACAGCCTCAGTCCTGGATCTACACTGTCCCAGCTTTATTAATAAGATACAAACAAACAGATGCATTGTGGGCTTGGAGTGAGAATAGATGATGCTTTGTTCATTGTAAATATTGTCTTACGAATCCGTCATGTGATGTGGTTGTGTCTCTCTCTGTAGTGTTCCCCAAACATCAGGGGACTTCCTCTCTGCTCCCCCTCCCCCCTCTCTCTCTCCCTCTCTCTCTTTCTCTCTCCCCTCTCCTCTCTCTCTCTCTCTTCAGTCAAAACTAGGTCAAATTGAAATTCCGTGGACTCCTGGGGTTTTGAGGCTGACGTTGGCAAAATACTGAAGACCGTGAGTCCGACAGAGTGGATAATGACCCGCTAGAAATCTCAAAACACAAAAAATTCAAAAGTATTTCACCTCTTACACCTCCCTTCTCTGAATCTGTCATTTCTGTTATTTTTTCATTGTTTGTTTGGTTTGGATTGTGCACATTTAAAGCACACACAGAATCACAATCACAAACTCATTCATCGTGAACTATTGCACATGTTTTTAGTGGAAAAATAGACACGAGGAGAACATGCAAACTCCACACAGAAAGGCCCAATCTGCAGGTGGAGTCAAACCCAGAACCTTCTTGATGTTAATAAAGCATTGGTTTTATACAGCACTTTTTCGGACTCTCAAAGACACTTCACATGTCATTATTCATTCACTCCAAGCACTGTGAAACTACTACTGAAGCCACAGCTGCCCTGGGGCACACTGACAGAAGCCAACCATTCACACACCAGACTCTAATTCTAATGTGGGGTGGGTGTCTTGCCTAAGGACATAGTGACAGCTGGATGTTCCCAGAGGTCTCTCATCACAGCTCTAACCAGGCCCTTCCCTGATTAGCTTCAGAGGTCTGAGGCATTCTGGCTTGAACCTGCAGGTGGCGCTGATACTGCATCACTGTGTTGGCGTTAATAAAGTGTGTAATAAACCAACAAAGAAGTTAAATATAATAATATAATTCAAAAGAAATAGAGGCGAGGTTCTGGTTCTAGACTACTAATAATAATTTTATACATTTTATTTGTACGGCGCTCAAGGTTGTCTTACAAGAATAGATAAAAGCATGGAGTTAAAATTGGACAGTGAGCCTGGCGGGCCACCGAAGTCGCTCGCACACATCATTAAAGACCAGAGAAAGTCCCTCGGAGGAAATTGTTTCTTGTTTCTCATAAAATCAGCTTTAGATTCAAAACCAGGAGGAAATCAAATAAACCGCTGCCAAAAAGAAAAAAATCCAGGAAATGAACAGGATTTATCCAAAACTTTATTTAACCTGGAAAGTCCCATGCCAGGGAACGCAACCCCAGGTCTCTGGTTTAGTCCAGGACCGAACCCACAGACCAAAGTGTGGACAAGAGCAAGGACCAAAGAGACTGGGGATATTCAACCTGTGGATCAGGGACTGAACAATGCCCTCAAACAGGTCCAAAGCATGTCGAAAGCAGGTCTAAAACAGGCCTAAAGCTGGTGTAAAACAGGTGTAAAGCAGGACTAAAGCAGCTGTTGAGCAGGTCTAAAGCAGGTCTAAAACAGGCCTAAAGCTGGTGTAAAACAGGTGTAAAGCAGGACTAAAGCAGCTGTTGAGCTGGTCTAAAGCAGGTCTAAAGCAGGTCTAAAGCAGATCCAAAGCAGGTCCAAAGCAGATCCAAAGCAGGTCCAAAGCAGGCGTAAAGCAGGTCTAATGTACAGTAGGTCCAAAGCAGGCCTAAAGCAGGTCTAAATCGGGGACAAACCGGTCTGAACCCGGGCCACACAGACTTTGGATGAATGGCAGTGAAAGTGGAGATGGGACGCTCTCCTCTAATGAGAAACAGATCTGGAGTCAGTTTGACGCAAAACCTTTGAGTTCAAATTTTTTTGCTATTTCCACAAAAATGCAGCCAGAGTGTGACATCACTGGTGTTCTCTGAACGCCGCCCTTTGACAACACACTTCAGATTAGCCGTATGATTTATGAGATTACAAACTGTTAAAGGTGTACTGTGGAGTTTAGATACTAATCATCGAAAGCCTCTCTGTGCATTTGGAGCCAAAAGAGAAAGAAGCGAATCAACCAGAGACCAACCTCCAGATGTTGAGAATTTGGTGTTTGTGGGAAACCAAACACAGGCACCGACAGGGGATTAAACTGTCAACCTTACACTGAGAGAGTCCTGGTCTAAACCAGGACTGGTTTTAGACCTGGTTTAGACCTGTTTTAGTCCTGCTTTAGTCCTGCTTTAGACCTGCTTTAGTCCTGCTTTAGGCCTGCTTTAGACCTGCTTTAGTCCTGCTTTAGACCTGCTTTAGTCCTGCTTTAGACCTGCTTTATTGCTGATTTTGTCCTGTTTTAGTCCTGCTTTAGCCCTGGTTTAGACCTGGTTTAGACCTGGTTTAGACCTGCTATAGAACTGTGTAAGTTGCGCTTTAGTCCTCCTTTAGTTCTGATTTAGACCCGATAAGTGCCTGTTTGAGTTGTGATTTAGTTGCACTTTAGACCTGCTGTAGACCTGGATCTACAGTCTCAGTCCTTGATTCTCTGATCTGTTGTTGACAATTTGACAACTTTGATGCTGTCATGATTTTGATTTCCGTCTGACGTTGATTTATATTCATTAACTGTTTGTGTTTCTTCACGTGTTTCTTATTTTGACTCCTCTCCGTCAAAACAAATGTTCTGTGTCCAATTCCTGCCGGTCGAATAAACATGTGTGGAATAAACAAACATCCATCCATCCATCCATGTTCTTCCGCGTCATCCGTTGCTGGGTCGCGGAGGCAGCAGTAGAAGCCCAGACTTCCCCATCAAAATACACCTCCTCCAGCTCATCTGAGTCGGACGGTTTGCCAGAATCTCTTT